TTTCGAAGCGGGTCAAGCTTTTAAGTGAGCTTTATTTTTATTTTTTTACAGGAATTTGTAGTACAGCGACGTAAATACTTTTTTTTTAATTATCAGAAACATGCTTTCCTTGGGCGCCTCGAAACCATGGCCCGATGCTCTGGAGGCCTTCAATGGTGAACGTACAATGAGCGGCAAGGCTATCGCTGAATATTTTGAACCACTACGCGTTTGGCTGGAAGAGGAAAATAAGAAGAACAATGTCCACATTGGCTGGACGAAGTCGGACAGTGAGTGCAAAGTCACTTAAAAAAAATGTATATTTTTGAGCTAATACCTTTTTTTCTTTTCTTTTAGAATGTGTTTCTTCGCAAGGTCGGCTCGTCTTTTAATAACCAAATGAAATTAAATACTGCGTTTTGGCGTTGAGTTTGGATTATTTTGATTTGAAAGAAACTTAATTCCTTAAACAGTTTTGTAAACTTTATATAGAAAAAATTCAGTATTAAAAATTAATACCTAAATAAATAAGATGTGTTTAAAATTGTCTGAAGCTGAGTATCAACTCGGAGGTATTTTTTTAATTGCCGCGATATTCGATAATACCCGATCTTTAGAAGCTTAAACAGATTTGGGAATTAGCTTAACTAATTCTAGTTGACCACTAGAAGGAAAACGCAGAGATTCATTTTGACCCATGAGAAATTATTTCATGTCGGCAAACGAGTCCCGTATAATGACGAATCTAGTCAGGTTTTTTAAATATGTTCCACATTGTCTTCCCGAAGACGAGGTATCTTAGCAACCTCAATCGCATTGTTTACTATGCGTAAAAGACATTAACTCCAATGATCATTTACTCTTAAATTACCTGTTTAAAATACATATGAAGGTAGAAGCGCCTGTCTTAACTATGGGCGTAATGTGGGGATTCCTCTTCTAATTGCCAGAACTTTCAACCCGGTCAAATGGAACCATCCTACTAAATCGGCTTATTGAAAACAAACAGTCGTGACTTTCGAAAGCGTTATTGGAGTCATCGATTTAAGGTCTGTTAAATAATCCTGTCTGCATCTGACTATGCTCGTCAGAGTAGAAGAACAATGCCCGTATGACAAGAGCAAAAGGTGGTCCTAGACCGTTCCTGAAATGTCGGACAAAAAGATGCTGGCTGAGTTAGGTTATGTTGAAGCGGCTGGCTGTATACAATATCGGAGAGTGGTACACTTAGGCCCAGTTCACCTAGAAGTAGGAGCAGTTGGTTGGGTTAATAAGGCACGAGAATTGATGAAATTCTGTTTCGCTTAGGTCTGCTATACAGACAAAGAGGTGTTAGTGAAATGGGCGTTTTTTTGCCCGCGAACGGGCAGGACAGTGACAAATGTAGATAGTTTCCCGGTAGGTCCATTCTGCTACCATGTCTTCACATCAAGCAGTGCACCGTTATAACCGAATAAGTCCATTGTATCTTTTTTTGTTAAAGATGCGTCAGATTTGTGGACTCATTATTATTATTATTATTATTATTATTATTATTATTATTATTGTAGCTAGATGGCGGTATGCCGGCATCGCGAGACGCCACAAGCTCATCTGTTGTACAGTTACCTTGTAAGTCTCTGTGACCCGGCACCCACACAGTGTGGGTAATAGGCTTTGAAGCTAACTCTTTGAAGACTTTTCTCCACGAGGTTTCACAAGAATCCAGTGACTAAAAAAATATTTGGCTAAGATAATTATAAAAAGCTTGCTGTGTTCAAACAATGCCCCAATACCGAGAAAATCACCTGAGTTAAACTTATTCCACTCAATAACACTTCTGGCTTCCATTGCCAACTACAACAATTGAACACTCCTAAACCATTGAGCCACTTCACAGTTGCATGCGAAAAGCTACCATTTCGCGCTCATTGTTGAGCCGCCTTTAACATTTAGCCAAAGTTACGGATGAATTATTGCAATGTGCCTAAACACTCAAACAATTACTACGAAGGCTAATCACAATGATCAATTTCATGAAGGCGCACCTGGACGGTTAGTTAGTTGCCAATTTGAAGCGTTCGCGACCGGACGTAAGAGTGGTGTGCTGTGGCAGTAGTGGCTTAGAGGTTTGATATGTAGTTGAAGCGCTAACAAAAGATGTGGCAAGCGTTTAAAGTGTGAATTAAAAAGTAAAAAGTGTTCAAATTTAATTGAAATAAAAGAAATTGTGGAGCAATTATAAATTAAATATTATTATTGTTTTAAATAGCTTTCATAGCGCTTACTGCAGCTTTGTTGAAAGTGAAATGTGCTGGCTTAAACAATGACAAAACGTATGCCACTAACAAACAAGCCATCATTCGTAATGAATCATAATTACGTGCGAGCTTGTTGAAGCAGGTAGCAGAATTGCAATGCAACATACGAGTACTTACATATGTACATACTTATGTATGGGAAGCGCAATTTCGAGTTCAGGCATTACACCGGCAAAAATTCATATGACTTATTTAATTTCATAATCAGTTTCTTTTTTGTTATTATTTCGCACTTCAAATCTTAGGTTGTTTATTAAACATAACTTATTTGCATTTGAAATTTGCATTTATTTTTTTCTTTTTATCTAAGTTGAGTAGCAATTAAAGACAAGTATGTAGGTTTATTTACCCATGACTAACAGACTTTTAATTTTACAAAATTTTGCAATGTTATTTGTGTAAATTGTGCTGATTGTGAACTCGATTGTTCTTACTTAAACGTGCCGCTTAAATTTTGAACATTGTGCAAATACAGCTTTAAAAGAATAAAATAAACGCAATGTATGTTATAGAAGAATGTACTAGCAAGAAGGTTGCAAACTTTTTTTGAGCCTGAGAAACTGAACTAAATACTAGAAATTCGAGACTAATTTTGACCGATCAGAATAAATTCAAAATGTTTGAGATCAGTACGTAACCGGTAACTTTATTTTGTTCTTATTTAATTTATTTTCAATGTAATTTAGAGTTGTCAGGTCTGATTTCTGACTGAGTTTGCCGATTGCTTCAAAACGTTTATGCGTTAAAGTATGCAAAAAAATTACCGACATGAATACGCCGTGCGACAAAAAAAAAAAAAAAACAATTTCAAAACACATGAAGCAATCAATGTACTCACGAAACTATGGTAGTAAAACTGCATTTTTAGTTTTTCTCTTTGACTTCAGGATTATGAAAAAGACTTTGCACTTTAAAAGATATGATTAATTCCAAAAACTATTAAAGAAATTCAGTGCAATGTAGAATAACAATATGTTTACCAAATGAAAGATCAAATTCTGTAGACAAAAAAAAAGAAATTAAAGCGGTGGTTAACTTCTTAAATAAGGTTAAATTGACTACACAAAGAAAAACGTAACGTGAATTTTTCAAACAGAACAGAAACAGAGAAATTAGAACTCCGGGAGATCGTAGTATTGTTGTAATACTAAATTCGAATATGCCATAACATTTATAGTTTCAAATATAGTCAAATCAACTGCCAATTTCTCTAAAATTAAGAAAATCTTTTTGAAAATACCACTGATTAGGTTTTGATAGTTGACAGCTGTCAAAAGGACTATGAATTTTTCTAAAAATAAGACAATATTTTTCAAAATGCCACTGAATAGGTTTTTATACATGCTAATCAGGAATTGCGTGTTTAATTAAAACCTTAAGCGTTTATGACTGGCGAAGGGGCTGTCAATTTCTTTAGATATAAGAAAAATTTGCCACGAATTAAACGTACTATGTTTTAAGGCTCACTGCTCCTGAGTTATGTATTATATTCAAAATTTTTCTGTTGACAACTTTCAATGTCAATTTCATTTGAGTAACAAAAAATGTTTGTTTAGCTAAATTTTATTTATTATATACGACCATATACGGAAGCCCGCGGCTATTCAAATATCATAAACCGGTTAGTAACTGGTCGAACAAATACTTTCCGAATATTCGGTTAACCGAATAACCGATTATTCGAATAATCTTAAGAGCCCTCATACCGACCTATAGTTCTTATATTGCAATAGATTGAATTTTTGGTTAAAAGTTACTAAACTGCTTGTTAGATGCGAAGTTAATCAGAAAATTCTTCTATGGTTTTCTAAAATTATCGTATATTTTCTGCAGGTCCCTTAATAAATTTTGAGAAGAGGATAATCCGACCAGCTCTATATTTACTCTCTATGAATTATCTATTTATATTTTGATTTTCTGCTGTTGATTAAGAAACTCACCCTATATAAATAATCACAAGCAGAATGCGTTCTATAATATTACTTACATTTCTGGTAAGTAAAATAAACTTTATTAAAAAATATCCACTTAAATCTAATACCCCCGACCGCAGCTCCAATGGCAACTACATACAGTCACAGCGTCGGAGAACTCAACTGCTGTGCTCACTAAATTTCTAGCAAATGTTAATCAAAATCTCGCTGGGCTCTACAATCGTGAAGTGTTCGCCAACTGGCAGCTGGAAATAAAAGGACCAAATGACTTATATGCGATCCTGCAGTCAGAGCTTGCCAGCGAAGAGATCATGAAATACATACAAAGTATAGCCGCCAAATGTGCTAAGTTCAAACGCCTAAAAATAGGCAACGAACAACTGCAACGCGAATTAGCGCAAGTGCCCGAAACTGGCTACGAAGCTTTGCCGGCTACGGACCTCAAATTGATGTACATCGTCACCACAAATATGGGTCACATCTACAAGAATACGAAATTATGTGCATTTCATGATCGGCGACAATGCAATTTGACTTTGATACCAGCGGTGCAAAATATTTTGCATAATAGTGACAATGTTTCGGAAATCGAGTATTATTGGTTGGAGTGGCGTCGCAAGACGGGCATGGCGGCGAAGGAGGATTTTGCCACATTTGTGGAATTATATCGGAAGACAGCGCAATTGAATGGTGAGTTGAGCAATTGGAAAGTTTTTTTTTTGTGAATGAACACCTTAAATACATTCATGCAGGCTTTGCGACACCATCCGAGTTTTGGTTCAAGGACCTGGAGGAGGATGGCACGCAAGCGGCTAGCATGTTGGCGCAATTTATGCAACGCTTGCAACCGCTCTTGCAGCAATTTCATGCTCATGTACGTGGCCAGCTGCGTAGGCTATATGGCGAGGAACTGATACCGCGTTATAAGCCGGTTCCACAAAATCTTGCAGAGATTTTCATCGGCAACGCCTATCGACGCGCTGATCCTGAATGGTATATAGAATTTCCTTACCCCGAAGTGGGCATGCCAAACATAACTGAGGGTCTGCTGCGACGTGGTTTGAATAATGCACAACGCGTTTTCTGGAATGTTGCAGACTACTTTCGCTCGCTGGGTATGCCCCAAATCGAAGAGTGAGTGTGCAAAGCATGCATATAAAAAAAAAAAAAAAAAAATTAAATAAAAATATTTCTGCTTTTCAGCACATTTTGGTCCGAAAATGCACGTCCAAAGGCCGATTTGAATGAAGAGAGCATGCGTTGCTGGCATAAGGCTTGGAAATTTTACGGCATACAGCGTGTGAACTTCTCCTATTGCCCGTCGGTGGATGAGGAGCGCTTCTTTAATATGTTCGAGGCCCTTACTGATCTTTATTACTACCGCGCGTATGAAGAGCAGCCTACTCTGTTCGCCGAAGAACCATTTCCTAATTTCAGCGATGCTTTGGGCAAAATGTTCTCTTTGGCCGCCTCATCGCCAAGATATTTGGAGAAGCTGAAAGCCTTGGATCGCGGACTTATATCTAAAGAATTGAGAATTAATCGACTTTACTGGCAGGTAAAACTTAAAGGGAGTACTTGAAAATTTACAAACCCCCTAGGGGTTACTTTAAAGTTGAAATAATCTATAAGCTGCAAAATCGAAACTTAAAAAAAATACATATCCCTTGCTTTGCTTTAGAATACTTTTGTGAAATCTTTTCCAGGGTCTTCGTACTATATTTTTGCTACCCATCTTCTATGTTCTCGATCGTTACCGGGTGGATGTACTTGATGGTCGCCTAAATATATCAGACAATTGTGCTTATTGGCAGCTCACGAGCGATTTTACGGGCGCAGAGCCACCAGTGATTAGAAGTAATGAAGATTTCGATGCACCAGCTAAATTGCTAGTTGAAGTGGATGATCAATATACCAGGTGAGGAAATGGAAAACACAAGTGGAAAAAAAAAACATCTTGTGTAAATTTCTCACCTCATTTTTATTTTATTTTTCATTAGTCAAATTATGAGCACCCTCTTGCAATATCAACTCTACAAGCATTTTTGTGAAATATCTGGTCAATATAAACCTGACGATCCAAATTATCCACTCGATTTATGCGATCTATCAGATCAACGGCAAGTAGGACCCTTAGTGTGGTGAGTATTTAGTTGATGGTTAAAAGAATAAATGAAATTGAGAAAAATTATATCTTATCAATCGAAAAAGGCAAGCTATGTCTTTCGGTTCCTCTCAATCTTACAAGGATATTTTACACATTATGACAAATGAAACTGCAATCAATATGGAGGGTTTACTGGCCTACTATCAGCCCCTGTACGATTGGTTGGTGGAGCAAAATCGCTTGGATGGTGTAGAAATCGGTTGGGAGCCAACAACAAGTGAGTTGTTCAGTCAAAAAAAAAAAAAAAGTTATTAGATATTACAACTGTTTCTTTTTTATTTACAGAGTGCAGTACCGAACATGATGCGGAATAATATATAGTTTAGCAGTTTAGCTTATTTAATTAACACCAAGTTGAATATGTACGTTGTTTAAATGGTTAATACCAACCGTAAACTTCATCTGATTCTAGCAGTACATTTCTAGGCGCTTTTGATTAAATAGATTTCCAACAGGATTACTTGTTGGTTTGAAATAAAAAATTAAAAAAAAAGTATCTTGCCTGCTTAACTTGTACGTATTTATTGTAGAACACATCTATGTACATAAGGGTGGTCCAAAAATAGACCCTTATTTTTTATTTTGAAATCAAAAAATATTTACGGAGTGCTCAAAGCGCTCAAAGTTTTCCATGTACATATTTTATGTGGGGAAAAAACAACTTTTCGTAGAAATGCTATCGAATTCTTGAAAATCAATATTTTTCGATCAGAAAAGTCCGTTTCCGCCATAATAATTTCCCGATTATAATACCAAATTGTTTATTTAACAATTTTTCATGGTAACTACATTTTATAGGTCCGCCAAAACCCCCAGAATATGCAATGGGGGACCAATAAAAAATCTTTGGTATTGAATTTTTAGTGTATTTAATTTGATTGAATTTAATTATTAATTTTTATATTACATATTTTATTTCATTGTTTATTTTGTTTTATTTTAATGTAGCATATTTTTATATAATTTTCTCTTATTTTATTGCTTATTTAGTTTTAATTTATTTTATTTTATTTAGGTTTACATAGACTAAATTAAATAAAACGAAATACATAAGATAAAATGGAGGCCGCAGTGGTGTAGTGGTTAGCAGTGTGCGCTACCACTCCACAGGGTCTGGGTTCTAGCCAATGTCAAAGCAACAACGCAAAAACTGTAAAAAAAGTTTTTCTTAACAGCCGTCGCCCCTCGGCAGGCAATGTCTAACCACCGAGTATATTTCTGCCATGAAAAACAGGTTCTCATAAAAATACAATCGCCTTTCGAAGTCGGCGTTGTGTGACAACATCAAGGCGCACGTCACAAATCGGAGGAGAAGCTCGGCCAAGTACTAACATAAATATGTGTAAACGCCAATTTATTATTATCATTAGTATTAAAATTAAACAAACAGTAAAATAAGATGATATAAAATAAAATAAAACAAAATAAAATTAAATGTACATTTACATTAAATAAACAAAAAATAAAAGCGAACTTAATTTAATTTAACCAAATCGTATTTGTATTTGTGATTTTACTTTATTGCTTATTTTGTTTTATTTTATTTTATTTTA